TTCCAAACTGTAACCGTGAATTTGAAAACATCATTTCTACATTTGCCACTTTTGAACATATTTGGTTGTTTAACGCTGCAGAATAATTATATAAAGATTGTTTTTGGTACATGAGCTTACTCAGCGTGATAGACAGTATAATACGCCTATGTACAATGCTATTTTGTTACAATTAGTGGCCTAACTATGATTCTATCAAAATGATCACTTTCTACAAGATATAAACGAGATGTCAAAGTCTACAACTCACCAATAATAGCAAGTACAATAACAAACAATTTACAAGATTGAAACATAATGATGTCAAAGTATATATATAACTCACCTATAAAAATCTGCTTACCTAAGAAGCAATGGTAGATATAAGAATGTTATCGCCTTCATACTGTTTTAATCAGCAATTGATTTTCATTACAAACCAAAAGTAGGAAGTGTAGCATTGTCAGGGTTTAAATCCGTTTTATATATACTAGATTGGTTGATAATTTAAACTATTTATAGTTCTATAAATTGACTTCGAGAGTCAGAATAGATATCTAGAAGAAATAACGAACATAGAGAGTATAAATCAACAAGACGAAAGTCGTTTTATAGTCTGCGTTTGGTCTAACTTTTGGTCGGTTATTTAGTTTTCTCTAATTCCTATACGATTTATCCTTTCCCTGACCTGTTGATTATTTTTATTTAACCAACGTGTGGTTCGTTTGATCTCAGTTCTTCATTGGTCAACATTCGATTATGACGTCAAAATGTATTGCTCTCCTCTGAATTTCCTATTGTGACATCGTGAAAAAGGTGACCATGCCTGATGACGTCACATAGAAAGAACACATCTTTTTGCAGATTATTCAAAAGGAAGGATTTAATTTATCTGCATATCTTTTACAAATCATTAGAGAAACAGATTCCACCACCACATCTTGTGCAATAAGAAATTTATCCACTCTCGACAGTTAAATTTTAAATATTTAAAGGGCTGGCGAGCCTCGCGTTTTAAATTTAAAAATTTAGCTGTACCGAGTAGATAAATATCGTATCACACTCCATACAGTGGTAGAATCTATATTTATCAGCTTTTTAACGATTATATAAAGTTTATGGGGTAACGATTCATAATTTAAACAGCAAACTATTATCTTCATACAATAAAAACATTTATGGAACCAATTTGATACCTTATTGATACATCAATTTATATAACCATTCAGAATAGCAATAACCGTCCTATTTGTATCATAACTGATCAGAAGCTATTTTTTACCTTGATCGCCAGTTTGATTATTTTTTCCGAATATTGTACTTCAAGCATGGAATCTGAAGCTGTGGGCTACATGGAGGACGACTTTGGCAGATGCCCAGCTAATCTTTTAGAATTCATAAATATACCCTTGTTCAGTTGAATTCCGAGTTAAAAAAAACGCACAAGAAAATGACAATCGTAAAGATAATAAGGTCGGTAAGTAAATCAGCTGTATCGTCATTTTCCAGATAAAGGAGTACCAAAAACAAAGCTGTTTAGCGCAGAACACGTATTAAAGAAATAGACAGAAAAACTAGCCCGTTAGAAGTTCGAAATAAGTAAACAATGGCTTGAACACATTCTGTTCTGGAGGAATTCATACTCGACGATGCGCATTTAGCCAATTAATGTCTCTTTAGTGGAGCTCCTGGTTCAAATTGTTGAAGATTCAGAACACACTAGTAATACATTCGTTAAGGAGCTGTTGAAACCAAAAAGTACATTAAGTATGACCAAACCCAGCAATAGAATAGAGTTCCATGTCGCTATAATGACATTAATCTGATTCGATTGCCGCTGCTAATCCACAGCACATCCATGCAGCCGGTCGAGTTCCGTTTGTAGTTCGTGCTATTCCCATAGGTTTTTCTCCCTTATTGCAAACAGATTTGAGGGAGAGTTTTCTTGAATTAAAACGAAGATCGCCACTTTGGTCATTCATCTCGTTATAAACAATCATAACGATGATTCTTGTCAAACATAATGCCATTTTAATATTTGATTAGCTTCTAGTTCAAGCAAGATTTATAGCCAGCAAACTGGTCACATGCATGTAGATAGCAACCAGCAATACAATTTAAAATAAGGAATATTGAAGTACAAGCAAAATATTTTGACGGAGCCGGAGTTTTAAAGTAACTCGAAAGGAACTGTTCAAAAATAACATGACATTCAACATCCACGAATTCCCATCAATTAAATGTCATTAATATAATGATTATTTATTTATGCAAGAGTAATAATACTCTATGGGCTATTCGCCCTTATTTATATAATAAAATTTGAACTGCTTACATCAATCTATACACTAATTTAGTGTTTCGGCGGCTAAGTATTTATATTTGTATTGCTTTATTATTTAAATAAAGTTTGATTCTATAAATTGTTTCACGTATATTTATTGGCCCACCTCTTCAGGGATTTCCAATAAATTGTTAAAACAAGTTAGGATTGATGTAAGCAGTTCCAAATTTTATTATATAAATAAGGGCGAATAGCCCATAGAGTATTATTACTCTTGCATAAATAAATAATCATTATATTAATGACATTTGATTGATGGGAATTCGTGGATGGTGAATGACATGGTTTTTTTTTAACAGGTAATGTCCACATTGCTAATTATCCATACCTACATAAAGAAACATTTGCAAAAGAAACAACGACTAGATGAATAACAGTCCACAAAGCACTACATATAAAAACTAAAGTTTGAGTAAAACGAACTCTTTTAAATGGGTTTTTACTCAGAGGCTTCTACAATGTGAGCCCTTCTGCTCCACTAATGGTACTCATCTTGTTGCTGGTATTATGATCTAGGACAAGAGGACGAGTATGTACATGTGCTTGTAACAATTTGAATCTATTTATTGTAATTTGTAACACAGATATTCCTTAACGGTCAATAACTAAAATGATGGCGTCTGTTATACGTTGAAGAGACGAATATCAATTTAGGTAAGAGGCAAAATTCAAAACCCATAAATCAATTCAAGATATACAAATCAAGTAGAAAACAAACCGAGGGTATCACACGAACTCAAAAAGATCGAGACCGGGTGTGTCGACAGGGTAAGTGTCTGCTGGTACTGTTATGCATCCATGAACCGCCATCCGAGGTTACACAAATGTCAAATTAAAACAAAAATATGACACAATTTATAAATTAGAATTAGAAACCATGAAAACTTGAACACATGTCGCCAGTGAATGTAGACTAGTACATAACCTGGCGGTCAACCGATGGTGATGGTGGTCGTAAAATAAGAGTACCAACGATTTGAGTCGGTTTATTCATTACCCTATGAATGTGAGTATACGCGTGCAGATCACAACTATAGAGATATGTACAATCCATATGATGGACCAGAGGGTATCTTACCGTTAATAAATGGGAATTTGACAATAGGAAAGCTGAAACTATCGAGTTTGTCATAGATTCTAGTTTGAAGTCGTCCATGTGTGTCAACATCAAGATGAAAAGACCAAGATATGATGCAGACCTTCTTGTGTTGTAAGTATGCTAATCTTAAGGTCACTTGGAAATAATCACACACTGAAGTCTAAATTATTGGGTTATAGGACATCGTCAATACTGCGCTAAGTGAAAATAAAGAACATAAAAATATCATATTTATGTCGTTAAAAAGGGTTTTTTTTTATGAATTCTGCTTCAAATGAGTAACAAAACAAGTCGGCCAGTACGGATGAAAAATTATTAACCATTTGAATACCAACTATTTGTTGAAATATTAATACATTACAGGCAAGAAATATGTTGTAGATCCAGCATTTTGATGATATATATTATCTTTGGTGTAATTCTGTTTTGTTCTTCACAAAGTTGGATGTTTATGTCCTTAAACTAAGCCTTGGTATGATCAATTACGATTTGTTTATTTTGTAGAAAAACACAGTTTATAAAGACGACGTAGTCGATCATCGAATTGAAAATTTGGAATAATATTACTAATTAAGAAACTTGCGTTTAATTCCTTCAACAGCTCTCTATGAAGAACATTATAATAGAAAACGCAAGCCCTGTATGTTGGCGTTTGTTTTTGTTGCACTTCAGTGTTCCCGTTGTTTCTTTGTTTTCCTTTTATAGTTGATGTGTTTCCCTCGGTTTTGGTTTGTATCCTGGATTTGTTTTTTTTTTCAATCGATTTGTGACTTTTGAACACCGGTATACTACTGTTGCCTTTACTGTAACTTGTAATTGACTGAGCGAAAAATACTTCGTATGTGTCTCTAGAATATTGCTACACAGAAATCGCAGGTTAACAATGAGGAAAATAACAACCTCATTTTTGCCAATAAATTAAGTACGTAGCTGCCTCCAAATTTAAAAAAAAAATAAAGATGCCATGCGTATCACTTTGTCAGCTGAGCAGTCGTTTTTTCAACTTCAAAGTCATTTATGGAACTCCAATCAAAACTGGTACAAATCAAAAACGATTTTAGAGAGCACTAAAAAACAAACACTTCAAAATGTCGTGCACAAAGTTCTCATTGTTTCGAATGATTTTAACATCATAAATATACAAAAAATGAACTTATAAATCAATGATGATAAGATTTATGTATATGATTTGCCAAGGTATGAACAGTAACAGTAAATAATGTTTTTTGTCAGTTAAGGAGTCTGTTTACTGTTTGTGAAGAACTGTAGCAGACCTAACTGTATCTGGTGTAGCCGTAAAATGTATAATGTGTACCCAGAGTCAGTTTTACTCTATGCGTATGTATAAATTATAGCTAGCAAAAGGTCGCGCACAGACAAATCTGACAATGTAGTATCTTTTTATTTAACTTCTAAGCATGATTCATGTCAACGATATTTCTTCTCTTTTTTGTTTTATTTTTATTTTCAGCAGTTCCATACAAATAGTTATGTAACTTTGAAATGGATAATTGACAAAAGAAGTTAATCTTTAAAGACTACCAAAAACAGAATTAACATTTTAGGACTTACCTTCATTATGAACTATGAAAACCATATATATCCTTGGACATATAAACACTTAAAGCATGGAATGTTTATCTTTACTTTTGGTCCGTCTTTGTTATATCATGTCTTCAACGTTTGTATAAATTTTGGATTTTATAACATTTTGTAAAAATATGCATCCAGTGTAGTACAAATGGTAACATTATTATATTACTACAACTGAGTCGATACCTTTGCTGATGGATTTTAGTTCCCGAGGGTATCACCAGCCCAGTACCTATGAAGTGGCATGACATTACGGATATCGTTTTAATGAAATTCGCGGTTACGTAGTATACACTTTGGTAATCATTTTTAAATAAGCAATGTAACACTCATCCATAGCTATGATTCCATGCCTAGGTATGGTCTTCCTGGTTTTATCAACTTTACGAAGTTAGTATTGGGTTTTCGGTTTTCAAAACTTTTGACCTGGAGTATTACATACGAGACGTTATATGTCGATACTGGAATGTATCTTGTGCAGTAAAATTGCTTAAAAGTATTAATGTAAGTGAAAAATTAAATTGTCAAATATCGCCTTACTAGAATAATTCAAAATATCTTTTGTCAACCTTGCCTAAGGAAGTATCAATGGAAACATTTACAAAACTTTTGTCCAGTTCTGTTATTTTTGGTGACTAAAAATGAAGAATACGGCTCCTCTTAAAATAACTTATACAATTTAAATGCTATCTATTATAGATGTTGTTCCAAAAGTTCACTTTTAATTATAACACCAAAGTAGTCCATTCTAGTTTCGATTGCAATGACGTAAGTTTGACAAATATTTCCAAATTACTGACAGCAACAACAGGTACAAAGGAAGGTGGTTCGATTCAAAGAATTCTACACACTTGTTTGTCTTCTAGTTGGAAATAAACATTGTAAGATCTGATCAGTCTTTTCTTTTACGATCCTCAAAGTCTCTTGAGATGTCTTTTCATTGATGCTGGTGCATATCACGGTGTAAATGTTTAAACGCATCCATTTAATTAATTGTTTGCAAGACTTAGAAACTAACAAATTGAAATTCATTCCCAATGAGTTATTCCATTTGACTGTATTGTCTATATTGGTTATTGCCACACTAACAAGATTTGATAAATCATCTGTCGTGAATGGTTTAATATATGATTATTTTGGAAAGTATAAATTACGGTAGATGATTATTCATTAACGACGACAGAAAACCGTTCATTTATTGCAAATCCTTTTTATAAAGAAATTACTCCAATGTTTATTATATTACTTATTTTAGGACGTATAAAATAAAGGAAAAATTTCTCCTCCTAAAAAACGAAATTTGCGTATTTGCTTCTCCTTTTATTTGTATTTCTTGTAGTTTCCTTCACCATTATGTTGTTTTCCAGCGCTGTACTGATAGTAGACAATGGAATGATGTGCGTTTCACCTAATCTTCTATTATCAATTGTTGACTGAACATCATTTATATTTAACGAACTATAATTGTTACTGATTCCGGTAGTTTCAACGACATTTGCTGATGAAGGTAAACTCAGTGTGTCATAAATGATATTTGCTCCTGAACATGTCCTTTTCTTACACTGCGACAATATTCGGAACCTATAAAACATGACATAATTCATTTGGTACTTATTGTTCTATAAATAGAATTAAAGAATTAAAGAAATATGTTGATCTTAAAAAGCTGATAATGTAGAGATATCGTATATCTTTTGTAATAAAGTTTCATAATGTTTCATGCAAATAGTGCTTTTTAGAGTTGAAAAAGTATCATTGATCTTGATATAAGTGCTCTTCAAATTTCAAATATTTGTAAGGAGAAGATTCTATTATTTATTGTTAAATCAAATACTACCTCTTTTTACAACTGCCATCATATTCTGATTTGATACTAAAAGGATATACTTGATAGAAAATATTGATAATATGATTCAGAATAATACTTTTTGGTGCATCAATGTTAGAAACAGGGATACATATATGTGCCAATCTTTGAGTTTTAATTTATTGCAAGTACACTTGGAACTTCATCTCGTGTATTTTTGTAGGGTTTATCTTGTCCTTAGTTATGATCGGATGGGTAGATATACAAATGAGGAGATATGGAAGGTAGTCAGTGAGACCACTTTCAACCAGACTCCTAATGACGTGCATGTAAGCATCTATAGATCACCGTACGGTCTTCAACAATCAGAAAAAGCCATACAGTATAGTCTAGACAAGGCTTCACCATTACAACTAAGAAAATTTCAGTCGATTTTTACAGACGGAAAATAAAGTCAAGAATAATTCGTTGATCGACCTTAAATACTTGCGTACCAAACTTCGTGGAAATATATAGATTCCCTCTTAAACAAATTTGGTTGATTCCTTAAACAGCCGCCAAGCTAGACCAATCCCCTTGCAAAAAGTAACAAAAGACAATGACGAAGGATTCAATGTAACCCAGCCTCTTTTATATGAAACAAATGTCCACATAAGCAATGATTGATTCTGCCATCCAATTTCGATCATGCTTGCTATCGTTACTTTAATTATAAAGAGACACTTAAGAGCCTAAACCGCCAAGGTGGTAAATAAACCCCTGCTCAAGAGAATAAAGTTTCTGGGGAAAAATAATTTTAGTTAACGCGTCATATAAGTGAAAGATTGAGAGAAACTTAAGAAAATTAGAAAAAAAACAATGAAGCACATATCACTGGTAACTTTATGAAAATGATATATTTCATTGTAATTTATGATTACCACCCAACACCTACGACAAAGCTAGCATCGCTTAATATTTAACAATATTAAATTGAACAAAAGTAACCAATAGACAATATGATAACATAATATATTTATTAAAACCCGATTATATGGTGCATTATTTCATTGAAAATTCCCGACAAGCATTTGACTATATCCAAAGGAAAAAAAATAACAACGTTCACGCTTTTCTTGCATGCAGACATGCAGACGGTCTTGAATCCGGAGTTAAAATTCCATACATGACAGCAATTTCAAGACGGTAACAATCACTGCCTTAGGTATTACAACCTTTCAGAATTTTGATATTTGAACTTAACTACTACGTATCAAACAAATTTGTCACTGTTGTCTTAAAATCTAGAGGAAATTCTGATAATATTTCAAAGGACCAATAAACCATACTACAGCAGTTGATTACCATATTAATTGTAACCTTAAAAGTCATGTTTGATGACCTTAACTGTCATTAAACAAGGCTGACACTGTAACTAGTTTAAACATATTTTATCTAGTCAAAGTAAAAATGGATTGGACACAAGTAAACCATACTTATGAAGTCCACTCAAAGTAAAAATGGATTGAACACAAGTAAACCATACTTATGAAGTCCGCTTCTAACTACAATATATAACAATACAACGTTAATATGAGCATGCAATATTTCAAAATATACAATACTTTACAAGTGTAGCTATTGAAAAAAGATGACACAAATAATAACTGAAAAACTGATAATGATGTTGATGATGTGAATATACCGCAAATACTCTATTCAGTACCATATGGAAAGAAATCTCTCGGACCTTTTGATGAATTCGAAAACATGTTTAAATATCTGGACGTGTGTTGCCACTGTTTCTAACAAAAAAAGAAAAAAAAATGTTATGAAGGAAATGTTATTTGCATGTACGTCCGTAAAACACGCTATTAAGTAAGGTTAACTCCGATTCAATATGTGAAAAAAAACTTTTTATTAGCTCACCTGGTACAAAGGACCATGGGAGCTAGTGTCATCACTTGGTATCCGTTGTCGTCGTCTGTCTTCGTCCTCGTAAATGTTTTCAAAATATTGTCCTCTGAATCAATCTCAGCCAGACTTAACTTGAGGTGAATGATAGGAGTTACTACCTTTGGAAGACTTTTGTTTGTTTTTTTTTTTTGCCGAAACTCTTCAGACAGCAAAAGTGTTCAGCTTATTAAGACCTACAAATAAGTCAACACGAACAAACTCCTCAACTGATCCCTTGAAGGAGTTACTGTTTATCACTTTTTTGCTGTTGAAGAATCTTTGATAGATAGGTAAAGCTTTAAATGGCATGTTTAAACACGCATTAATATACATTAACCAGAAAAATAATCCTTGATGCATAATCAACACCGAACATTCCAGGTAAGTGAGTCAGGTTGTAAGGAGCCTCTGGTTTTTATTATTGTTTCCATGAGGGATTATTAACGTACAATTTAACGATGTTTAGAAGGCACTTTCGTTAAACGCATGTTGCTATTTTTTCTGCATAAATGATTGGTATATACAATAGCTACCATCTTTAAAAATAAGGATTATAAAACACGTAAAACTCTAGTAAAAAAATTTTGAAAATACATAAAGTGGAAATTGGTAACAACTTTTGAAAAATGGTTTATTCATATATTTTTTTTCCAAAATACCCATTAACATCATCAAAAGGTGAGGAAGATGATGATGGAATTCTGTTTAACCTTCTTTGAATAATATCTTTTGCATATCAGGACAAGAACCTATTTATATGATATGAATATGAAAGTTATCTACCAAACATGCTGAACCGGATTTTAAACGTGCTAGTTCAACAAGAAGCAGTCCGTCGGAAGACATGTCACACTTATCGCACTCATTTTCTGATTCCGTGTTGACAGGTCTTTACTCATACTCCTAAAAGCTGCATGCTTAGTGGAGAAGCAGCATATACCAATTTTCAATTCTTTAGTTTTACCCGGAAAAAGATCGAACCTACGATCTCTCTCACTCGATACGAGCTACGATAACACGAGACCACTGAGCCTATTATGATGTTTTCATTTTTTATTATACATATTTATATCCAATGTCTTAACTGAATTCAATATATTTGATATATTTCTTAAAATTAAGAAGTTTATTAATATATTTATGAAAAATAAAGTACAAAAAAAATGACATAAACAAGAAATTATCTTATATTTTTCCGCTAAAATAAGTAAACTTTCAATTAGTTATTGTATGTGTTTGCTAGTCTGTGAACCCATTCATAACCTTAAAAACTAGGATAGATAAAATGGTGCTCATGAAATATGGAGTTATTTGTTGAAACGAGTACTTAAAACACCAGATTTAGTGTATAAATGATTTAATTTGTCAACACGGATAATAATGCAAGCAATAAACTGTTTACATGCACAATTTTTAACAGATCACCAGGACTTATTTATGATTGTCCAGTTTCTTCATCGTTTTCGGCTTTTAAACTATTTCTTTTCTGATTTGTCCCCTTTCCGTCAGACATGCGTTTCTTTTTTTCAATAACTGCATACACATTACTCGTTGAGGGTTGATCTTCACTATTATCAAAGTTCGAGTTGTTTGTTTTGCTGACAACAGCATATTCACACCCACGTTCACCAGGTGCTGTAACATGCTTCACCCTTTTCTGATCCGGCACAGAATAAACATCATCTTGAATGATCACCTTTTGTTTTGGCTTAGGAGAAATAATTGGTTTTTCATTTGTAGACCCGTTCAAATTCGACTTTGACGGTGTCAGTTTTTTTAAGTCATTTGAACTGTAATCTCCACTTAATTCTTCGACTGACGGTATTTCAGCCAAATCTACTGTATTGTAATTACTATCAATATCAACTAATGTCCTGTTTGTGTTTGGACTATCGTCGTTGTTTGGTGTTTGAGTGGTATCAGGAGGTTCTGATGAAACGTATAATACATTGTCACGTAGACCATAATCATCATTACCAGTATTAACTGCTAGACCTGGTTTAGATGTTGATTTTGAATGGTTTCTGAAATGTTATAGGTTTAGCAAATCTAATACAAATTTGTAATGAAATCATCGGTTAACATTCACGGTTTTATTTTATGCAGTTGGTTTTTATATGATTAACTCGTTTAGAATCTTGATATTTTATTTCAAACATTTGATATTTTAATTTATATAAAATAAATCTAACCTTCGCAAAAGAAAAGATATATATATATATAAACAGATCTTAACCTAAAAAACTTTAATCTTCTCTACAACACAGAAACAATTTGTTCATCTGAATTTAACGTTTATTTATAAGCTCGATTAACGTGAAGAAAAAATTGCCTGTATAACATTATACAAATGAAATTATTTCTAAATGTGTCATTTAAAGATACTCCGGAAATCTAAATCCACTCCAGATGATTAAGTTTTCGAAAATACGAAGTTTGTCAACTTGAAGTGTTTTAAATATTTGAAATTACTTAGTCGGGGATGGGGAAATATTTTATCGTACAAGAAGCAGTAGTTTAATAAATAAAAAATAATTTCTCTAAAGACTTTTACACAATACATGTGTATCGACTAAATTTAACGTTCTTTGAAATTAACTCCAAAAAAACTATGTGCGCAGTCATCGCCCATGATCGTATTATTTTGGCAGAATACAAATCAAATGCCACAATCTTATGTACGGTAAACATATAAGTAACTTACATACCGTCTATAGATACAGATCACAGCAATAACAACAATAATGGTTACAAAGCCTCCAACCGATGCACCTACTGCTAATGTTGTTGTGTCATCATCATCTGGAAGATGTGTCAATTAATACATTATTAAATATCATTTCTATTAAAAGAAAATAAAACAAAAACATAAATACGAAAAGAATAAAATACTTCTCAAGAGTAAACTAAAAAAAATTTTTTTTCTGAAAACTGGTTAAACCCAGATCTAAGCGAAAGTGTAAACGTTTATTTCGATTGACAACACTCGACACGCACGATATTCGACACTCGACACACGATATGCTATACTAGGCATGCAATATGCGGCACCTGCTCAGTAGCATCTTGTAATACAGAATCAAGATAAAAGTAATGGGAATTAAAGTGTTATAGATGAAATGAATACGTGGTAACCAAGGACAATCTACAGTTATCAACAAATAGCTTAGCAATATAATTAGCTCTCGCTCAATTTTTCATTTTCATCAAACACAGGAACAGTTATAAACTGTTGTAAATAATAAATTATTCAAAGAAAACTGTGAAAAAAGTTAAGAACCTATTGTTACTATTGATATGCTCAACAATCTCAAACGTTAGAATGAAGAATTGATTTTCTTTTTTGATAAACAGGAACTTGTTTATCTGTTACAAAATCGTGAAATAAGTAACCTTTATTTTTCGGTTCACTTGCTTGGTTTGTGGTTACAGAACCATCGGTACTTGTGAAATTTAGAATTTCGAACTCAATAGTGTCAATTGCTGTTGTTTTTGGTACTGTTGTTGTTGTTGTTTTTGTTGTTTTCGGTACTGTTGTTGTTGTCGTTGTCGGAACTGTGGTTGTTGGTATTTTAGTTGTTGTTGTCGTCTTCGGTACAGTTGTTGTTGGTAGTGGTACAGTTGTTGTTGTCGTTGTCGGAACTGTTGTTGTTGGTATTGTTGTTGTTGTTGTCGTGGTCGTCGTTGGAGTTGTTGTCAGAGTCATCTTTGTTGTTTTTTCTGCTGATTGTGTTGTGTTAGTTGTAATGGTGCTGCCGTTGCCACATTTTAGCTCCAGTTGGTTTCCCGATTGATCAGAGACGGCTGTGAATCAAAAACACACCATTGTAATCCTAATAGCCACAAATAAAAGGAAGTAAATCTTCTTTTATTTACTATTATTGGAGCAAAGGTCATTGCAAATAAGGTCTATCAATTAAATACTAGTAGGCAATTAACAAGCATCTCGTATCTATAATTCAATATATAGCAACTATTTTAATCGTTGTTGTTTGTCTATGTTTATACTTCAAATTTGTTTTTTATTTTGTGGTTGGTACTGTTTAAAAAAAGCCGGAAGATACTAAAGGGACTTTCAAAAATCATAAGTCGAAAAATAAAAGAAGACAAACAGACAAACAACAGTCTACAAGGCAATACATAGCAAATCAAGACTGTGCAAGATGAACCCTACTTAAACTAGTAGTGATTGCATATGCTCCGGAAGGATAAGTAGAGCCTCCTCCATGTGTCACCGGTCATGGTAATAAGTTGCCAGTAGTACAAATTCGAAGAAGACAAATTTATGACTACAACAATTAGAGTTTATCCGTGGTCATCTCTGACAAAATTGTTCCATAACCAAATCATAATGGTGTCTGTTAAACAAACTAATGTTTTTGGTAATTCCGGTTAGTCTTTTTTGTATTTTATCACGACATTAGTAAATAATTACGTATGTTCCAGCACAATTTATTTACAAAACAATACAAAGCAAATATGGCATGACCGCTAATTAGCATCTTGCTTTCGCAAATAACAAGCCAAAAGAAATCTATCATTTGAGGTCTTTAAATAAAGTTCTAATAAAATTTTTTGTGTACAAGAAAGACAATCTTATGCAAATCTTTACACAGGACAATAACTTTTAAATGAGCATCGAATGCATACAATACCCATATATTAACCTCAATTTAAAATGCATATAAAATCAGGCAGACAGAAAAGTACATCAGGTTGACATAACTAGTATGTTTTTTTTGTAGAATTCGGTTTATTGGAACAGGTAAGCGTAATCGATGTACGGAACAATATTGTTTTATCTTTGGTATTGTATATATTAGTGAGTTTGTTCTTTAGTATGCCCATATCTTAGAGCTAAGGACATTTCCTGTATTGATTTTTTTATTTGTTCTTTAAGACACCTTCTGGTAGTCTTCTAATCGAGATTAAAAGGGAGAATTCAGATTTATAAAACGGCTTATTCATCTCGTCTCCGTCAGGGGATTGCTTTTGTCATCATGCCTAAATATTTGACCTTTTAGCTAGATATGTTTTACCTACATATGTTAATCATAAGCTTACAGGTGTAACACGACGGGTGTCATTTATATTACAGAAAAAACTTCATTTTCTGGAGTACTTTATTTCGGTCATTGATTGTAATAGGTTCTGTGAAGCACGATATTGAGTTTTCCTTGTTCTTTTTCGTCGACCTATGGTTCTCTATTGCCTTTGGTAACTTATCCCCTTATATATAAGCTTATGTTTTATAAGCTGTTATACAACTGATTTCATTTACCAATTTGGTATTCGTTTAATTATTTGTAGCTACATTTTAAATCCTAAGATAAGATTTACCTACGAAATGGGTTTATCATGATACACTAATAAAACATAATCAGTATAATAGTAGTCGAAACTAGATTTTTCTAATTTTCAATGAAAATGTATGCCTCTACTTTTCATCAACAAAATAACTGACCCTTTGGATGGTATCAAACCAACTTTTTTATTATTGATTGGCGATTATGATTTGCACTTTTTTATACTTATTTCATCATTGCAATGTAAGACAGTATGCGATGTTAAGACGATGCAGCATTCTACAGTGGATTATTGTCAACTTAGATTGAATATTTCAATGCTGTGAATAGCTTTTTGTCAATAGTTAGTTGTAAGTATTGCATTTATTGTCTTAATTATTAATATATTTGTAACACTCAGAAACGTGTCCATCCCCCTAAACGTGTCAAATTCCCTAAACGTGTCTACATGAAGTCACTCCACTACAGATATATATCTAGTTGCTAAATGGCGCCAAAACGTGTCCTTTTTGTGAACGTACAAACGTGCACAGTGCCCCAAACTAGTCAAACTGAAGCCTAAACGTCTCCTTTTTGTGAACGCTTAATGGTGTCTATATTTTAAAAACGCCCAAACGTGTCCTGCCTAATGAATTTGTTTTTAATATGCTGTCGTCCTAAGCATGTATTAAATATTTGCCACTAGATGTTAAGCATCCAACAATTAATCAATCTTTTGTCCTAAATATGAATGAAATATTTGCCACAAAGTGTAAAGCAAGCAACAATCAGTTAGTTCATTATTTTCTGTTACCGGTCATTACCTCTTTTAAATTTAACTTAATCTGGCAATTAAAAAGATGATGCATATTTAAAATGTGCATTATAAATTTTAAGGCTGGTATCTGGGATACGTATGATATATGCAGTTATTTCTCTCGTTTGTGTCTCTTTGGCGAATGAACCGTAAACATAATTTACACTGCTGAGGATTTTTTAACGCTTCAAGTTTTGATACGTTCAGGTGAATAACAATCACCGGACACGTTTGGACGATTTTAAATTTTAAGAACACGTTTGGGAGGAAAAGACACGCTTACGAGTGTTACATATCAAATGCATATTTGCATTTAAAAATTTGGAAGTTTACATAAAAAGGGAGGTGATATAGTCGTGCTGCCTTGTTGTGCATTTTGATCAAAAATTTAATATTATTGACTTTACATATTTTCTGAATTATTTCTTAGATGTGGTCATGGTCACTACGTCAATTTTCAAGGTTATTTGAGACTTTCGTTGAATTAGATTTATAAAATGTACATCGCTAGTTCTTGATTTGTTATCATTTTTTATGGATTATTTTAAGTGTTCTGTCCAGTAAATTTTTTTTATGGTGTTATATATATACGGTTTACAAAATTTGATCGCTAGCTAGTTTGTGTAGGTACTGAAATATGTTTAATATATTTAATTTAGTATGAATAATCTAACAATATGTACCTTTCTTTATTTCAATACAATACCCTTCATTATCATTCAAAGTTCCATTCACAGTAATTGAAGTAATTGTCATTGTTTCGTTGATTTGTATTGAATTTAAGATAACGCTATTATCGACTACGCATTGAGCTTCCCAAAATCTGTTATTTGATCTTTTACCAAACCTCAGTAACAAACCACATCCGTAAGCTAATGGACTTGAACTTGTCTTCTGACCAAATCTTTGCATATTAACTGGTATTGCTTTATCTTGATTGACCACAGAAAGTTCGCATGTACAGTTTCGCATAGTGTTTGCCTTTACTAAAACAGATTCGCTATTATCCTGTTTTTTGGTATCATCTGTGCATATATTGACCACTGAATTGAGAGAGAAAGCATACCGTATATAAACGTACTGCAAATAATCATTTACAAAAATTCCATCTTCATATCAAATCGGTTCTCAGTAGTAAAAATTTGAACATTATAAATCAAACATACAAATTGCACTGTGCATGGTTTTAGTTAATATGCGTGTTGTGCAACCTTTTTCTTCTGAGATCAAAATATAGATAAGAATCAAAAACCAAACATTTAACCACACAAAGTTATCTCTATGTTTGTACATTTTCATTGGCCTTAGTTTTATGAGTTCTTTTTAGCAGAGAACAGCAGATATTAAGTAACATTATTCAATACTTTCAGGAACCACTAGATATAATCTCAATCAACAGAATATTGCTTTTCTAACGTTTTTCAGTTACATGATAGTATCTAAAAGGTCTGTCACGATTTGAGAAAGAACTAATATCAAAATCGTTGATTCTGCAGTCGTTAAATCCACTTTTATATGCATTTAAGGGACATTCCGTTTTGAATTGTCTTTCGAGTTAGTTATTTTCGTTATTTTACTTTTTAAAACAGTTAATCGAAAATAAATGTAACCTTCCGGTGATCACACAACTTCATGTGTGCTCTTCTATTATAATTTGATTTCTATTTTGCGTACACATAAATGACAACCATTAAGAGAATTTATATTTACCAATCTTTTAGGTCGACATATTGGGTTATCATTTTCGGTTATTTGTGCCTGCTTTCAAAATCACTTGTGTGTTCACGTTAAATGTTTACCTTTGACATTCGGTTACTGTACTGTTGACTATTTCTTTGTTATAATAAAACTTTTCTTGGAATGTATAATGATATAAAAACAAACTTGTTTTTATCATTGTTGAAGGTCGTACGGTGACGTGTAGTTGTTAACTTCTATGTCATTTGTTCTCCTGTGGAGAGTTGTCTCATATTGCAATCACACCACAAAAAGTCATCCTATTATTTTTAAATGTTGTATATTAACCTGGCAAATTTCCTGCCGTAGAACAGGGCTCCCCTGTTGTCTCTAAAATTAGAATAGAAACATTACAACACTCATGTTTTGACATGAATTATCCGTGATATGGTTATAATTATAAATTAACTGTTTAAAAAACTGTGAATTGTCCGAAATACTTACGATTTTTTACCCCAGGTATAGATTTCCTAAGTTGAATTTGGAAAAACTCTTCGGAATTTTGGGTTAAAAATGCTCTTCAACTTTGTACTTTATTTGGCCAACTGGTTTTTATTCCAGCGTCATTGGTGAGTCATTTATAGATGAAACGCGTCTGGCATACACAATTTTAAGCTTGGTATCCAGTATGCAGAGAAATTTAATACATATTATGTGCCACACGTGGAGCAGGATCTGTTTACCGTCCTGGTGCACCTGATATCCCCTTCAGTTTTTGTGGGATTTGCGTTGCTCAGTCTTTTGTTTATATATTATGTTTTGTATACTGTTATTTATCCAAAAGCAAATAAATTTGGAAATTGTCCAAATATATCGTCAAGCGTCAATTATCTTTCCTTTGGCGCCACTGCATTACTATATAGTATTAGAAACAATTTGAGTGAAAAGAAAACGGAAAATATTTATTGTCTGAAAAACTTCATTACTTGTATTCTGATTTCATGTGCTTGCAGACAATGGTGATATCCGAGTACTAGAACAGGAGAGGCGGGAAATACCAAAGGAACATTCAAACTCATAAGTCGATGGCAAACTGACAACGCAATGACAAAAAACGAAATATGACGTAACGACAAACAGCAGTTAACAAAACACAACATAGAAAACAAACTGAAGACAAAAACATAAACAACGGTGTCATCTCTGGTGCTCCGGATGGGTAAGGCAGATCCTTCTCCACGTATGACATCGTCGTATTAATTATGTAAGTACACACATGGTGATGATGTCACATACACATGTACCAGGACAAGAAAATGGTGATTATGGATACACCAATTGGAACATATCCGTCGTCATCTGTGAACAGATATTCCGTGACAGTCAACTAAATTGTGATGGCGTCCGTATAAATTTCAAAAGGGTGACTGCAATTTTACATCTTGAAACCTTTGGTTTTATCGCTTTGGTGAAAGCAGCAACCCTCTATCAAGGACATCATGACAGAAAGCTCTGGAATATCGTATCAACTGGGAGATATTTACTCCATATGCAAGCGCCTAAGTCTGGGAGACGAAGAGTTATTAATAAAACGTATCGGCTTTGAACTAGCTTTCAGTTATTGCGATTTCCCTTAGGTCTTTTGTCTTCATTTATGCTAGCTGTGTTTTCTACATTGTGTCAAGTCATTTTCAGCTGTTTTCTGCAGCTTGTTCCGATGTTGTACTGTTACAGGACTGTCTCAGGTTAAAGAAGGATTGGGCACTTACAAACATGTTTAACCCCGCCACATTCTATATGTACCTGTCTTAAGTTAGGGGTCTGTAACTCAGTGGTTGTCCTTGGTTGCTGTCGATTATTTATGTTTTTGTTATAGCTAATTATACGGTATGGGTTGTGTTCACTATTGAAGGCCACACGGCGACCTATAGTTGCTAAAATCAACGTCATTTTGACTTTGGTGAGTAGTTGTATCATTAACAATTATACCACATTTCCCTTTTTTATGTTAATTGATTCAATAGTGGACCGATGTTTAGCGTTTATGGCAATGAAATAAAAACATACAATATGATTATATCTTAGGCAAAAACGTTAAGCATGTTTCAGCCATAAGAATACACACACTTAGTCAATATTTGATTTGCTAGTTCATAGCGGAATTGTCCGTTTAAATACATTAACTCGTGCCCAGACACAATTTACAACTCATTTGAGAAAATATTGTTTTTAACCCTAAATGTTACTAATTGTGTAATCATGTAGCAAACAAAACTTTAATTAAAGTTGCAACTTATTTAGACCGGAATTGAACTCAGAACTTTCGGTTTTTGTGACGGCTTATAAGGAACCACAAAACACCACATTTTCAATAAAATTGAGTCTCCAAGAACACATTGTTATCATGGAGATATGTTTGCGATTCGACTTAACCTGAATACTCTAAATATCGATTCAATTCATGATAAAAACCAAGTTTGGCCGCAATCATCATTTCAGTATCTAGTTTTAAAAATATTTCTGATGATCCTTCCTATCAACTAACATGCCGACATGGCCAAAAAAAATTATATAGGTAAATTGCATCCTCTGTTTTTGTCTTGAACTCTGTTACAGATACAGTCTGACGGGCAAGAAATTTCAGAAAAGAGTAAAATAACAAAAAACTCCAAGGAAAATTCAAACGGAAAGTCTCATGTCAAGTGGCAAAATCAAAAACTCAAACACGTCAAACGAATGGAAAACAACTGCCATACTCCTGACTTGGTACAGGCATTTCCAAAAGATATGAACTGAATTTAAGATTATTTAGTTTCTATTACGAAGTGCGAAGAAGAAACAGATATACATACACAGAAATTTTCTCAAAATTTGTTCGGACGAATTCTTAAAGGAGTTTTTTCACTTACATGAAGATTTATGCCCTTTTGATTTCATTTCGACCTATAATCTTGATAAGGAGAAAGTTTATACAGGAAACAAGATCACGCCCGGATCTCCAAATAAGTCAAATGACAGAAATCGTAAGTCGACTTCGTATTGGATTTATTGGTTATTATTGGTGGGTTAATATAAAAATAATGAGATGTGATATGATTGCCAATGAGACAACTTTCCAACAAAGTTCAAATAAAGTGGATGTAAGCAATTATAGGCAACCGTATGGCCTTCACCAATGAACCCATACGTATATTCGGCTATAAAAGGCCCCGACATGAAAAATATGAAACAATTCAACTGAAAAAACTAACGGCCTAATTTATAACAAAACAATTTACAAAAAAACAAATATGACAGATGTGAACCAACGACAACCACTGAACTACAGGTTCCTTGCTTGGGACAGACACATAAAGAATGTTGCGAGTTCAACATGTGTGGTAGCTTTCAACCCTCCCCTAAAAGAGGGACGAAAGATACCAGAGGCACAGTGAAACTCATAGATCGAAAACAAACTGACAACGCCATGGCCAAAAACAACCTAACCTGGGACAGTTGTGTAACAGCACAACATAAGCACAAACTATAAAAGTCAGTTGAAAACATGCTTAACTCATCAGATTGATACAAAGACATACATTAAACAAAACAACAGATCGGACGTGGCAGGTTATATATATACTATCCCTCATCCCTAATAACAAAAAACCAAACAAGTACAGATCTGAGAGTACCTGCAGTTACTGACAGCTAGTTCAAAGCCAATAACAACTAATTAAAAAAATTATGTATCAAAGACTAAAATTTCAAAACATAGGTATCGACAGATTATAGTATCGTGAAGGTACATAAGTGTAATATTTAGTATGGTTTTAATTTACTGATAACAAAATCAATATTTAAACCAATAAAAACAATATCCAAAGATTTAATTACAGTGTTGAATTGGTAACTACATCACCGTAAAAATTTGGGATGTGCTATTCCGTTTGAAATAAGTTTTCTATAGGTACAGCCAAACTTGCAAACCAAATCTTTGTATCTATGGAGAATTTAGTAAAGGTTTTAAGTAGTTTGTGGTAAGTAGTTATAGAACTCGCTAAAAGCAATGAAAGTCTAGTTGTAGAACACTTACTAGAGGACGAGATGAAATGATATTTTAACGGGTTTCTTGTGTAGTTTAGGTAACCAATACATAGTGGGGACCTTCAAAAAGAGGCCTTAAACTTTGCTGTGGTTGTGACATGATTATTTACCATATGACTCTCTGTGGAGCGTATGGCCTTTAATGTAGTTGAATGTATAACTTCATTCTTAAAGACTTTCATGTAGTATTTACGTCGTACCACCACCACATTGTTGGCTGCTTTGTCGGCCGGTAAAAACACAAAACGCTTTGCGAGTTCTTGAATTTTGTTATTAATCCTAGAAATAGGAGTTTTACGCTCTTTTATTTAGTTCTGAATTATTTTCGAAATGTGATATGTGAATGTCAACACTTATCAAACATTTATTCAAATAGGTTTTAAGTGACTTTTTGTCAGATTTCTCCCGTTTATACCATTTTTTACAATAGGATGAAAGAGCATCTTTAATAACCTGACGACACTCTTTCCCCAATTTATTTTCGACGGTGGACGATATTTTGGTCCTTTTTCCAGAAAGTTTATAAACTCTCGGTTTTGAACGAAGTTGAGGTCCCCTGTAATTTCATGGCCATATGGATCACCTCTAAATTTTGATGTTTCACAGTCTCGTGTCGAAGGAGCATTATTTTCTATACTGATGTAACTGACGTAAAATTAAAAAGTAAACTTCTACTGTTTTTTTTAAACGAAAAGGAAATTATAGGTGGCTCTATATTATCAAAATATGGAGATATAATGTTTTGAACGATAGTCATGAAAAATACTAGACAAATTAATAAAATCAATACCTCTATTAATGTATTTTATTTTATGAAATACTTTTTATGATCTTCAGGTTTGTCAACAAGGTGTAAATTATCAGTCTACTTTTTGTGAGTTGATGCCCATGAAGGTTCAGACTAATCAGATTTTATTGTTACTTTTAACGGCCAGTGTTAAATATACTGGTTATTGTAGTTTATGTCTGTTTGTCTTTTTATTTTTGGCCATGGCGTTGTCAGTTTGTTTTCGATCTATGAGTTTGACTGTCCCTCTGGTATATTTCGTCCCTCTTTTATAGATTGATCTGTCCCTAATGGATAATGAGTCGCCAAGCTAAGATCTTTGTCCAACAAAATGTACCTGTGAATTGTTTTTTTTTAGGGGGGGGGGAGGCTATTTTTGTTAAAAAATTCCTTTCTTTTCGGTGATTGATGACATTTTGCATCCATTTAGAACTTCGTGGACAGTATCCACATGTATATGGTATACCTTCAGAGATACAGTCAATCGAAAATTTTGACAAATGTGTAAAAATTAAGAGAATGTATGCAAACGATCACCGGATTCCTTTATGCTGTCTAGGTCAATCAATGCTTAATAGTGTATGAAAATACACGAAATAAATGCGATGTTGCAGCAAGATGCCATCACGATGTCCCGATTATTATGCTGTTTGACCATTTTTTACACTTAATATCGAGCATAGTTGAGTTCTACTGAGGACAACAATACTACGGTGACCCCCTTAATTCTCAAATAATAAAATAAAGTTAAAATTATAGCATATCATTCTTATTCAAATTTCTATGAACGGATTTTCGAGAAAAACACTATTTCAAGTGAAAAATGCACCTTTTTCGACGATTTGAAATATTATCTATAAATGTATAAATATTTATTATGAAGTTCGTATTGACTGTATCTTTATGCATATGTTTTCGACATACAGATGCAGTTCAACGAATTCCAGATGTGTTTAAAATTTCACAATAATCCGAAATAGTTTCCAATAACGCGAACTTTACATGAAGAAAAAAAAATCTTTATTCAAATTATGCTGCATTTACCTGAAAATGATTTTCCACGTTATGTCTTGTGAAAATGTTTGAACCCAGTTTAACTGGTCGTTGGATATATGTAAAAGTAGGAAGATGTGGTATGGTTGCCAATGAGATAACTCTCCACAAGAGACCAAATGCCACAGAAATTAACAACTAAAGGTTGCCGCCCGGCCTTCAACAATGAGTAAAACCGCATAGTCAGCTGTAAAAGGCCCCGAAATGACTAATGTAAAACAATTCAAACGAGAAAACTAACGGCCTAATTTATGTAAAAAATAATAAACGAAAACCAAATACAGCAACAAACGACAACCACTGAACCACGTCAGACACGCGAAGCAATGAATGTGGTTTTTAAATTTTATAGCTGCTTAACGATGTTGTTGTCCATTCGTTTGATGTTTTTTATCATTTGATTTTGCCATTTGATTAGGGACTTTGCGTTTTGAATTTTCCTCGGAGTTCAGTATTTTTGTGATTTTAGTTTTTAAAGGTTGCTTACTTGGGACAGGCACATACAGAATGTGGCGATGTTAAACTAGTTTGAAGGCGCCAACCCTCCCCTAACCTGGGACAGTGGTGTAACAATATAACAAACTATAAAAAATCAGTTGATAAGGGATCAGATAGATACAAAGTTAATTGTATATCAGGAGAATATAAAAAAAAGTCTCATTTATGAATTTTTAGTGTTTGCTCTGTTAAAAACATATAAGGATATCATTAGACTATTGCATCGGTTTTTTATTTATTTTTCGCAACCAATACTTATCATAAATGTAAATATTGTGCAGCAAATCTACATTTACCTGTCTTAATTTATAGTTTTGGTTATATAGCTCTTCAACTGTGTTGGTTCTTATACATTCACGGCTTTCAAATATTCGGATTTGATCGTTCCTGATGAAGGTAAATCCAGAAAAGCGCTTCGGACGCATGAAATTAATAACGTGTCGTTTTCATTTTTTAGCTACTATAGGCAAATGCAAAATATAATGCATCAAGACAAATTAAATATGTTTATCAAAATATAGTTTGTTTCTAACGAATTAAAAAAAACAAAGAAACAACTCAATATTATAGCCCTACTGTTGTCGTGCATAAAAAAGGCTCATTTCTTTATTTAACAATTTTTAACATATATTGTTATTTGATTCTGCTGAATATTATATATATATAAATAAGCGGGAGTTTCTCGCTGCATTGAAGACCCATTGGTGGCCTTCGGCTGTTGTCTGCTCTATGGTCGGGTTGTTGTCTCTTTGGCACATTCCCCATTTCCATTCTCAATTTTAAATATTGTTTTCTGATACATGAGTCAAAGTATAATTCGGTTATTTAAAATGTTTATCAATTGCTGAACTGTGATTTATTCACAACCTATTTTTTCTACAAGAGTGAAAAAAAAACTGACGTGAAAGTAGACAACTCACCTATAATAGTAACAAATGTAACTAACAATGGTAGATATATTAATGGCATCGCCTTCATACCAATTTTACTAACAGATCACTTTGATTTCAAACCAAAAGTAGGAAGTGTTAAATGGTAAAACCGGTTTGTTTATACAAGTTTATTCAACAATTTAAACTATTTATAGTTCTTTTATATTGATTTCCAAATAACATGAATATTTTAAATTAATAACACGCATAAAGAGTATTCATGAACAGAGATAAAATCATTTATAAGTGCAGGTTTGGTATATCTTATGGTCCTTTCAGATTTTTATCAGCTCCTCAATGTAAATATTAGATTTTTGGCTATCAAGTGTTCTGACTTATACTGACATTAATTGTCGGAGTGTGGATCTTTTACAATTAAATTGGTGTACTGTTCTTTTGTTTAATTAAGTTGAAATAAATATCATTAAAATGCACCTGAAATGAGATATCCACTACGTTTCAAATTTAAATCTCTATTGATTTATCATGTAAATTTAAAAATGTTATGTCTCACATGAGATTCATCTTACATATTAATTAAGTTTTCTGACAAAATATTAATATATATTCATTTCTAAAAAAAATCCTACGATATAATGGTTGTGAGTTTGTGTTGATAATTTCTTAGTTTGAATATTTTTTTGCTTTCAAATGGACACTTCTTACTTTCAGGTTGAGACACATCGCAATTATAACATATCATTTCATTACTCTTCCTTTTAATGTACGTGGCTGTTTTTCTACCGAAATTGTAAATATGTGGTCATCTAAGGTAGTAAAAGGTATTTATAAATGTAAAAAAAAATCAAGAACTGACACGAAAAGTGCACAAAATAGTAATATAGATGTAACACGCAATACTGACATCAATCGTCATAATACGATTTTTAATATAGTGTGAATTGTTGTATTTCAATCATCCTACACACGAATGTGATCAATTTGGGATTGATTAACAGTGTTTTGAAAAGTTTTGCATTATTAAATATATCTCATATAATGCCCCTTAACTTCACATTATTTGTTACGACATTCAAAGTTAAACTATTCATTAACAATGTCTTAGTGTATTTCAGTCTCATAAACGTAGGAGAGAATATTTGTTTTTTTGCCTTAAACCCTTAAAGACTGTTCAAGATGGTGAATTGTACAGAACAACCACAATTGACAAGACCACACTATAGCGTTCAAACGAATTAAATGTTTTAGTACACTGTAGTTTATTTACATTCTAATCAGGATAAATAATGGCTTATTATTAATGCAGGTAATTATTGTATGCCTTGAAGCACATTTGATTGAAACTTGGTATCGTCTGCGTTTTTCTTCAACAGAAAGACCGATCGTTCTGAAAAGAATTAACTCAATACAGTTATATAACTGCAATTTAAACATTATATCTCCGGTACCTCAATGATCTGTCAAGTTTTTATCAATTGTTTTTCCCCCCTTTAAATTGCACAATAAGCTGTCACAAACATTACCCATATTACCTTGTATACAGGATTTGACAAGGCATCCCTTTTATTGAAATTAGGGATAAAACAGTTAAACATAGCCAATATGATTGATTGATGGTTGCTTGCTTAACGTCCAGCGGGATATATTGCATGCATGTTCAGGACGAGAACATGTTAATAATACATGCAATAGGTAGGTTCAGTAATAGAGGCCGTCCGGGATGATAGTCGGGACATTTGAATTTGCCACTGGAAAATATGAGGGTATATGGGATAGGTAAAAACATTTTGTCATGCAACTCCCACACACGGAACCCTCAAAGAGATATACATATAAATATAATCCACCAAAGTTCACATGAATTGGATGTAAGTTATTATAGGCAACCTTTAGGCCTTCACCAATGAAGAACTAATACTGTTAAGTCGGCTATAAAAGGCCCCGACATGAAAAATATCAATTGAGAAAACTAACAGCCTAATTCATAATAAAACAATTTACGAAAAACAGATATAAAAGACATGAAACAACGACAACCACTTAGTTACAGGCTCCTGACTTGCAACAGTCTTATATAGAATATGGCGGGGTTAAAGAATGCACCAATCCTGCACTTAACCTGGGACAGTGGTTTGACTGCACAACACAAAAAAAACTTTGCAAAACAATAAACGAAAAACAAATACGAGAACCAGCAAAAAACTACAACTCTTCATTTACAGGCTCCTGACTTGGGACAGGCACATAAAGAATGTGGCTAGGTTCAACATGTTTGAGGGTGTCAACCCTCCCTCTAACGTTGGACAGTTATGTAACAGTATACCATAAGAACAAACTAAAAAATCAGTTGAAAAGGACTTAACTAATCATATCGATATAAAGCAGAAAAATATCTGACGAAAACACAGATCGGACGTGGAAGATATTTATACATCCCACAAAACAAAACAAAAAAGACACAAACGACGGATCTGAGAGTTCTCGCAGTTACTGATAGTTAGTTCAAAATATTAAAATATTGTTATAAGAAATCATGACCTTTGCTGGTTTTATAGTCATTATGTAAAAACTAATTCACTATGACATTTTTACACCAAGGTGGTATTACTTACTTATTTAGACTTAGTCTAGTAATAATTTTTGCCATGTGTACGTGATATTTCGAAGATCTAACTATCCTTTTTTAGTTGCCAATATCACAGAACTTTTCAGATTTTCAGCTAACTTAAAGCAAATACTGTCACACTAGGGACTCCATATGGATACAGTTGCCAGCTACTACATGCAATTAAAACATTATTCATATCAAAAGATTCGAGCTTTAGGTAGATTAAAGTCCAACTCTTATATATTTGGGATTAGATATTTTCGAGTTTGCTAATTGTTTGACATGGAGTGGTTTAGCACTCAACAGATCACGAATAGAAGAATCAGAAGTCACACATTGTTCCTCGTTATGCTTCGAGCTCTTGTCAATATCGTTTCTGTTAAACGATTTGTTTTGCTATCAAATTCACATCTCTGTGTTACATTGTATACTTTTCGGGTTTGTTTTCGTTGTTTCTGTATGATGTATACTTAAGGGACCCGTAACTTTTCCCTTAAGTGTTATGACTGTCGTATTTTACCGGTGACACGTTAAATGATTGAATTATACGTAAAGTCAATCGATGGACGAGAGGGTATTCCTTTAATTAACAATAGGAAGTTGTCAATTGGAAAACTGAAATCATCACGTTTGTCATAAATTCTATTGTCCATATACTTCAATATTTAGAGGAAAAATCAAGATATGAAGCAGACCTTTCAGATTCGGTAGTATGCTGAATCTTAAGTTCACTTCATACTATGAGATACAAGTACCCGTTGATCTATGTATTTTTGAATGACAAGCGTCGTCAATACATCTGAAAGTGAAACTAGGCAATATTTTATTTATGTTTTTGAGAAGGTTCTACGCATTCGTCTTCATTTGATTACAAAAGTGATGTTTTCTTCATTTTGTTGGGAGAGCTTTGTTTTTCTGCTAATCCACACACATATGTATACATCGTTGAAACGAATGAATTTTAAAACCGGGGACTTGACACCATGAATTTTAAAACTGGGGATATATAATGTATTGAAGCATGAGGGGTTAGCCTTTGCTTATGGTGCGGTGTTTGTTTGTTTGTTTGTTATACCAGTTCTTCAATGTTTATATAAGGTGTTGGATTTTAAAGCATTTGGTCTTGAACATTACTGAAGAGAGATAAATTGTCAAAATCAGCTTACAATTGGTACCGTTAATGTATTGGAGAATTATATTGCAAGAAATATTCTGATACGAAAGGTTAAACCACATGCGGTCAACATTGCCATATGAAGTTCTAAAGGAGACATGTAATGATGCAGGTTAAAGAAAAGGGCAAAGTACTAGTACGTTAATTGTGTTCAGAAAAATTATGTAATGTATGTATATTGCTCCTCTTATGAGGAATAAGACGGTTTTTTGCGATTTATTCTGCATGTTGTTCCAAAAGTTCATCATAATCATAAGTAAATCATAATATCAAAGTAGTTCATTCGAATTGTGACTGCAATTACGTTAGTAGGACAATTATTTCTGTAAGTCTACCAAATTGTCGACTATTGGTCAAATACCATAGACGGTGGCTCAATTCCGTGCAATCGGATTACAAGTTTAATTGTCTTTTTGTTGGAAATCAACGTTGTTATATCTTATCAGGTTTTTTTTTCTAACAATCATAGAAGTCTGTTTGTATTCTCTGCAATGACATTTACATATCATGGCGGTGTCTAATTTCTTTATAAGTGTATCCGTTTCTTCTTCCCACTTCTTAATAGAAACTAAAACATCCTAAATTCATTTTATATCCTTTGGCTGCATTACTTATTGATTATTGTCAGATGGGCAAGATTCTGTAACCAATTGTCGTAAATTGTTTAATATAAGTTGATTAGGGAAAATTGGTGAGAGAGGAAACACGTTCATATATTGCAAATAATTTTATAAATAGGAAATACTACAATGTTCATTCTTTAAGAATATCCTACTGTTTCTAAAAAAACGAGGTTTGCGTATTCGCTTCTACTTTTATTTGTATTTTCGTAATTCCTTTCATTTTCCGGAACTTTTGTGCTGTTTCCCTGCACTGTACTGATGGTAGATAAAGGAATGTTTTGCGTTCCATCTAATCTTCTATTGTCACATGATGACAGAAAATTATTTATGTTTAAAGAACTATAATTGTTACTAATACTGGTATTGTCAGCTCCATTTACTTATGACGGTAAACTCAGTGTATCATAAATGGAATTTGATCTTGAACAAGTCCTATTCATACACTGCGTCAATATTCGGAACCTAAATTATAAATAAAATAATTAATTTGGTTCTCATATATTTATTGATAATATAAAGAAAATATGTTTAAAATTGCAAGATATTATTGGTTGAATATTTGTCTATAACTGGTGTAAATAACTCTTTGACATATTCCCCATTTCCATTCTCAATTTTATCATCATAGATACCAGGATTGAAATTTTGTACGCCAATACGCGCGTGTCGTGTACAAAAGACTCATCAGTGAATATCGAATCATAAAAGTTAAAAAGACCAAACAAAGTACTA